TTTCACCTATTCAAGGCAAGCACCAGATGCCTTGGGTACACAATCTGGGCACTTTATCATTGTGGGAATCACAGCTGAGGGGGTTGGTCGTATTAAGGCTGCTGGAGAAGAAAGTCATCATCACCAAGAAACATTTTTCCGATAGCTGATTTCTTGTTTTGTTCACGATATGTAGCCCACACCCTTTCGCTGCAAATTTTGGGAAAAATTTGGTGCGATAACTGGCAATTTGGAAACGGGGGTCGTATCGAGGTGAAAAGCCATTATGGGTCGTATTTTGCCGTATTTTCTGCGTCGTGAACACTTGCCTTAGTGGCTATGATAACGCTGCCCCAAGAGGACTCCCGTGCATACACTATGTTTCAAAGGGGTAGAAGGTGGAAAATAAAGCGGCCATGGAGCGAAAAGCGCTAAAAGGATCCGAGGGAGAATCCTGATTGTATGACGGAACCCAGCCAAAGCATTGTCAGAGCTCCTGAATTTGTCATCCAGAGGGAGATTTTTGGTTTAAAATGTGAGAAGCAGTAGAAAGAAGGGATTCAGTAGCTGCTGCAACTCTTTGAATGGTATGTGAGGGATATATGTTTGATGGTAGTAGACAACTATTTCATGGAGAAGAAGATTATTTTCCTGAGTTATCCATCTGCACTCTATAGGGGTGTAGTGCGGCGAGGGGGGGGGATGATTTGTACTTCTGTGGTCCATCGACGCGTCGAGCAATCGAGCAATCAAGTGGAGACCTGAGAAATTAGGAAGCTACGAAGTGATACCAGCCAAAGTTCATAGTGATCACCTTTTAAGTGTTGTAAGGAGTACCTATCAACCTTGTAAAGCAATGAAGTGTCATACAAATACCATTTAGCATGGTGGCTCGACGAGCTTGCTTCTGGTTCACAAGAGTTCACAAGTTTCCGCAGGGTGGGACTTGTAAACTGCAGTAGTGAAGAAGGAAGTGCGAGATGTCCCTCCCGTCGCCAAACTACGCCGGCTATTGGTCCCTTTTGCGAGCACGCGGGATCTCTTTTGGGTGAATTGAAGGCAGATCGAACTGGAATGTTTCTATTCAAATGGCCGAGCTCAGGGCACGCCATCGCGTTGTGATCATTTCCTGAAAAATACGATCCACCCTAATTATATCCTCGGATATGACTCCTCCCCCCTGCCCATGCCCGGGGGGGGTATACCCACCAAGAAACAGGAAAGTTTCTTTCTTAGATTTTCCCTAATCTCCTACCAGTTTTTCCAAAATTTCCTTCTGGTCTTCCCCCAAAATTTGCTGTCGAGGGGGGGGGAGGTCGTCAGGATTTAACTATCATTTTCAACTATCGGAAATAGTAGTTGTATAGATCTTTGGCAGTCCCTCTCTCAACAACGGCCAAATACGCCCCCCCCCCTTTATAGCCGTCCGTGAAACAAGAGAAATCAACTACCAAAAATTTTTTTCAGACCAAAGGCCAAATACGACCCCCACTCCCTGCTGTCAAATACGACCCCCTCCCCTCGTTGTGATCATCACAACGATGGCTTGGCCTGGCCGAGCTATCGTATTATCGCGTCTGGAAAATGATAAGCTCCTTGTTTGACTTTGCAAGACCGTCTGGGTTCAAGCCTGGTCCGAGATTAAGTCGCAGACTCAGACGCCGACTGATGTGCATTGTGCTGGCATGTTTCAGTTAGTTTTGGAAACGTTTTTGCATGCGGATGACTGCGGTGTAGTGGGTGGCGCTTGGATCGATGTTATAAGACTCCTCCGTAGTGGAGCGATTGGCGTTGCAAATTGGGCTTGAATTGAAATTGTGCGCATTTTCCGATTGATGTGCTGTGCAGCAGTGCGGTTCAGGACGGGCGGTTAGTTGCTCTCCACTGATGACGTAGAGTGGGTGTGGGTGGATGGAGGGAGGAGGCAGAGGCGAGGTTCACAGGACGACGATGGATAGCAGCAGCAACCGGCGCGAGACAGCGAACGGAGGCAGGAGGCGAGGCGCTCCTCTCGTTCGTCCATCGGTCGGTCGATAGCCGCGACAGCAAGCAACTAGTGTGTGCTGTTTAAGCGAGCAATATCCTGGCGTCTGAGCTGGTCGCACACCTCGTGTGAGCGGATTAGTGGATTTCAGGGTCCGTCGACGCTCGCTCAAAGAATATGCAGGGAGTGACACGCATGTTTACGAACGTGAAATGATATGGGCGTTTATTGACTCAGGAAAAAGTTCATAGAAGTGCAATCGTGTTAGTCCTACTACGGTAAAAATCTTGGGGCTCACGCCAATGATGGGTGAGGCAACGGTTATAGACCTGCTAGGGGTATTAACTATCCTCTAGTGGAATTTATATATTTCCTACTCTACTTGCCAGACCCAGTCCATCCAAGGAAACTCGGTGCTGTTCGGTCGGCTCAGGGGGCAGCATTCTTCCAGGTAGCTACTTTCTTCTACTTCCTGTAACTTACAAATATTGCCTTGGTGAGACTTGTAGACTCTTGTCGAGTGTAAGTGAAGCTGGTACTATTGCATAGATTTACAAGAGTTCACAGGTATCTACGGGAGTCATAGACAATGATTGATGGGGATAGTAAAATGCCTTCACCAAACCAAAATGCGACGGACCTTTTCTTCTTTTCAGAAGAGATGAGAGCCGTGCAGGAAAGTCTGCTATGCGGCCCAAAACGTTGACTTTTCTAAAGCTTACAAAGTTGTTCCGGACAGTTGTTACGTCTCTTTGCGCATAGTTTGCCATAGCGCGGAGATGGGGTCGAAGGCAATGGTATATAGTGCCTCCGACACCATCATAGTGACAAGTGGTGCACATCATTGACTTCTGTTGCGCAGTTCCTGCTGAAATCAGCGTCCTGCTCCGAAGCCAGGAGGGCCTCAGGGGTCCGTGATTGGACTAGGACTTGTTTGGACAGGATAGATATTAGGTTGGCCTATAGGTTCTGTCATACTTTTTTGAACTAAAAATACTTGTCCATTATCTGAAGAAGGGTGATTAGTAATGTGACCACCCACTTGACTACTTGACTGGTGCTTCTTTTTCTTTTGCATTATGCACAACAATGATATCCGCTACCATCGGCACCTACCCTTCATGCGCTTCTTCCTACACTTTCTTCTGCCTCCCTTACCAGCAGACGAGCTCCGATACCATCAATAATTTAGCCTGCATAGACGATGCCCTCATTTGTAGGACAACATTCCACGAGCTAATGCTTCAAAGCTGGAACCTACAGTTTTGATAACGAGTGAGGTTTGTGTGTACCTTGTCTTATATGATGTACCCATCTAATTGATTTTCCATCATTTTTCATCAGGCATTGAATCTTTCATCCAAGTAAGAGCGAACAGAAAAACTAAAAAAGGCGAGAAAATTTGCTTTTGCTTTGCATGCTTGTTCCAGAAGGACGAGCGTCTAACACTGGGGTGCCTTAAATTTGAAAGGACAGGGTAATTAGTGATCATTTACACTAATCATACACCGTTATTGTTGTTTACATCGCTTATGATATATTCAATTTTTTTGTTTCATCATTTTTTATAACCTCACTCGAAATCGCTCCCAATTCGAGGTATTTCCACTTTCTGCCATTCACCCTTCGGCATGGTCTTAGTGAAGACGACACGCGCTATTGTGAGAGACGGCTCTAATATGAGCTGTCATAGAAATATGTACGGCGAAGGAAACCTGTGAGCAAGCTAATGCCAAGGGATGGCAACAAAACTGCGAAAAACACACTTAAATAGAATAAATACGTATATATCTGAAAATTCCGAAAATTAACAGTCAGAAGAGAATAACGAGAAGAAATTTTTATTCATGTTTCCTGGCCTGAATTCAGTGCAAATTATTTAACTGCTGATTTTCAGGTGTGCAGTATCCGGTGTCGGATCGGTTAAATGTAGAACAGGTTTTTGAACGGCGGACGGGAAAGCCTCGCCATGATGTACTCAGAGATTATTTTATTAAGGTAGGCCTGTTACTGCTCTTTTTCTTAGTTCGTCGTGGGGGGTGAGCCATTTCGCACTTCCGCTGTTTCCGGCGTCGTGTCGAGTCATCAAATAGAGATTTATGAGTTCATGGCCGTGAAGTGATACCGGTTAAAGTTTATAGGAAGTTCTTGTATATTGTTGTGAAGCAATGAAAACAATGACAAGGAGTAGCGGAGGCGCAAAATGCCCTCCCCCATCCCCAAGCCGAGCTTCTTCTTTTTTTAATGTTTTCCCACTATTCACACCCCAATCTTCACGATCTAAGCTGTGTTTTTATTGAAATCGTTCCTGCAAGCGGATTGGCTGAAAATCGGTCTTCGGGATAGCTTCACTTCCCTGAACGCGAATATCATGTCAGTTCAAAGCGAATACGCCCAGTGCTGACGCCGAAGTGTCATAGGTCACCAAGTTCGTTTAGGGCTGGTTTGAGCCCTAGAGTGCGAAACTATGATCCGCCGAGATCAAAATCCCAGGCACCAGCGAACAAGCTAACCCGGCAAAGCAGGCCGACGCTTGTAGCATGAGCGCCAGGGGTTTCGGCCCTGGGGTTGGGAATAACAGGGTTCGTCTAAGGAACGGACGAAATGAACCATCTGCGTTTTGCGGGAAAGTCATGTGATTTTCTTTTTTTTCTATTTCGCACTAGACCTGCTGCGGCATTCGTGGCACCCCAAATTACAACTTTCCACTGGAACATTTCGCTGAGGCTAATTTGACCCTTTGAGTACGATGCTTCGATCTGCTGGAATCGAAAACGCCTGTCACCAGCATTACCAATATCGGCAAAGCACGCCGACGCCTGTGGTGTCGGCAAAATGAATAAATAATAAAGTAAATACAGGCCAAATTTTGGAGGGTGGGGTCTCAAAGGGTAAATAATGTTCTAGTCTCCCATGTCCTTCTGCTGTTTTTTTTATGCGGAGGGAAAATCTCTTTTTTTAGGAGGGTCGCATCGAAGAAGACGCGGCCATACGTATTATCCAGGAATGTACAGCGTTATTTCGACAAGAAAAAACTATGCTAGACATTGAGGCGCCTGTTACAGTATGTGGGGATATTCACGGACAATTCTACGATCTGATGAAGCTCTTCGAGGTACAGCTATGTTAATTTTGTAGTCATTTTGATGGATTTATAAAATATTAACTCTACCATTTCGAAAGTAGTAAACCGTGTGGAAAGTTATGGCAAAAATGCTGAGTTATAGGCAAAAGTCAGACCCCAGGCACCGAAAAGAGGGTAAAACTGGGCCTTGGTGGGTAAATGGATAAAGTACTCGCACAGTCAGCGGAACATGCGGGTTCGAGTCCCGCCTGGGGTCACTCTTGCCTGTTACTCAGCGTTCTTGTGCTATTTGGGAAGTATACA